TTTGGGACCCCAGTTTAACGTATAAATTAAGACTGAGTTAAGAAGATATTATCAACAAGGCTAACACAACAAAGAAGATGAGAAAGCAGCAGAATAGAGAAGAATGGGGAAATTCCAAGAGACAATGAATGGCCTCACTGACGTAACCTGCAACATCACTAAGAGAATATTCTTGAAAATGTTTGAAGATCAATATATGAGTGAATAACAAAGCTTAGTATAAGCTACTACTTAATAATTTTAAAAGTCACAAAAAAGATTTTAATAGGTGATACCTGAAGAAGCTTTCAAAAGAACCTTATTACAGGACTGCTTATCTTATTTATGTTTATATTCCCTACAGGTCAATACAATAAAATCTTGTTATAAAAGGCTGTTCCCAGCAAGCAAAGATTAATTTCTGACACAGAAGTCACAAAAAATTCTTTGTAGCCAACCTGGCTATATATATGTATTTTTATAATAAAGCACATTATTTTACAACTCCTCATATCAAATGTTGTAAAAAATATGTTTTCTAAGGACCATATTTTTTTTCAATAGCTAAGTTTCCATTTATAAAAATAAATATATCATTTAAAATTTCATAGTAAAAATATGTTAGAGCTATTGGTCATATATGATTATTTAATAGTATCTATACTACTACGTATGTGCATTGAAACACGGCGTAATTGTTGAAAAGCATAGAATTTACCGAAAGAAACCTGCTGAGGTAGGATTGGGAGACAGCAGACAGAGCTCAAACTGGTCTTCTGCCTCCAGGGTTTCTAGCAAGAGCTCCCATCCCCATGAATGCCAGGATTATCTTCATCAAATCAGATCTGATCAAGCCACTCCTGCTGACAAGATTCCAGTAGTCACACTGCACCTCCTAGTTTGGCTTCAGCTTAATTTTCCAGCCTTATCTTTAGGTAACCACCCCTGGCTTTAGCTACACTGGAACACTCACTGCTCTTAAAACGATAATAGCTAAAATTATTGAGCATTATCTATAGGCACTGTGTAAACTATTTCATATGATTTATCTCAATTAATCATCACAACCACCCTATTACAAAGATTATTATCATTACCACATAAGCTTCAAAGCACACAGTCATATGTTTGTATACAATTTACAAAAATAGTTTGTACTCTTTATCTTAAACAGATCCCACCAAACTATAAGTTTCAGGTGCACAAAACCTAAATATGCTCCTGAAAATTATTATTCCCATCTCCTGAGGCTCGGAGAGGTTAAATAACTTGCCAAAGTACTCACCACAAAGAAATGGTTGAGACAGTATTTGAACCCAGGTCTACTCATCTTTAGAAACTAAGAACTTAACTATAGTACTAAGGCTGTACCTCTGTTCTTGTAGCTCCCATTGTCTGAAATGACCATTCCCCGTCTTCCTATTTTCATCACTAGATTTCTAGAAGGCTCCTATTCATCCTCCAAAGCCCAACTAAAATGTTATGCCTTCTTCACAGCTTTCCCTAACCCTTCTTGGAAAAAAAGGCATATCCTTTAGATATCCCTCTATTTTAAACACATATCACAGCATATCTATGACATGATGTAATCAAAAGAATATGCTTTCTTGGAGTCAAACTGACCCAGGTACAAATTATGGCTCTGCTACATACTTGTGGTACAATCTAAGGCAAAATATTTAAACTCTCAAACCCTCAAGTTATTTATCTTTAAAATGGAAGCAATAATTCTTACCACATTCATTCATTTAAATACCCAGCCATCCATAATATACCCATTCAAGAAATACTTAATGAATGCCTACTACATGCAAGGCACAGAGCATACAACCGTGAAAAACAGACACTGGTCCTGCCGCCACAGAGCTTACAGTCTAGCGGAGGATACAGACTAGTGAACAGATGATTAAAATGCAGAGCGAGAATCTGAGTATTGCAATTAAGACCAAGGCAGGGTGTAGAAGAGCTTATGGGGGAAGCATTGTGACCTAACCCAGACTTGCAGGGTCAGGTAAGGACAATGCAGATGAATAGCAATTCAGTGGTAAGTCTCTTAAAAATAACACAGAGCAAATATTCAAGACAGATACCGCAAGTAATTTCAATTTAATAAAATACTTCCACCCCACCCACGCCGTAATCACACGTCCCTCATCTCTTAAGATTTGAAAACGCCTCTGAATGTCAGGGAGGGAAAACTGATTTTTTACAGTAGGTGGGTCGGCCAAAATGAAACCTGGTGCATTGCATTGGTCAGTAGAAACCTCAAGGCTAACAGAACAGTCCAATTAAAAATAAAATCTGCTTCTCAGAATTCTGTCACAACCATAAGGATTCCTTAACATCTGTTCTTGTTATCTGTGTTAAAGCATTTAACGACAGAACAAGGAAATCATTTCCACCTTTTTCTGGGGGCTGAACTGCTGCACAAAGTGAGAAGCAATTGCAGCTTTCAAGAGAGATGCTAATTGCAGCTTTTAAAATATTAGACGCCCTCTAAACACCCCGCAACCCCCGTCCCCTAGGAGTTTCTGGGCCTTTCTTAAAGGTGCGAGGAGGATATTGCCATCTAGACTTCATTTCCTACCTAAGGATTTTAAAACATTTTTGTTGAGTGATTTATTCCTAGTTCTTCAAGGATCATATGTCTCACATCTTCAGAAGCATTGGGGAAAAAGGACCATCTTATTTAGACAAGAAACCTGTAACAATTAGAAAAGCTTCATTGAACCGATAAAGGAAAAAACTCCCAACCTCCTACTTTATTCCGCATAAAACGGGAATTTCCATCTTAATTTAGACCTTCTGCCAGCAAGCCAGCAGGGGTAAGGACTTGGAACCCTCCCTCTCACAGACGTTGTCTAGGCAAAGATGAAGGAGGGAAAATCGGCTACAAGACACCTGGCTATTCTTACTTCCTGGGAGGGTGAGAGGGAGGAAAATGTTGTCTTGATGGCAATTCTATTTATAAATGCTTTTCTTTACAATAAGATGACAAATTTAAGAAGGAGAAGGGGAAGAAGCAGCAGCTGCCCACACAGAGTATTACTTTAAATTTAATTATTGGAAAATCACTGTATTCAGGCCAGGAGAGGGAAAATATAGAAGGAAACCAAAATCAAGTTACATAAACATGGTGGCTAGGGGACTAACAATCATCTAAAGGAAGCTCCCATGCTGCCACTAGCAAAGAGGAAAACTGAGATCCAGAACAAGTAGAATGTCATTCTTATCAAGCTACCAATCCTTCTGGTATTGAGCTATAAATGTGGATCACACAAAACCTTTAGCCATGAAATCTACAAGGTATTCATATAATTATCTATCTATCTATATAACACTTTTTCTGAAAATGGAGAGATCTGTACTCTGGTCTAAAAAAGAGGCTGACCCACAATCAGTATATGAAAATATTGACTGAACTCAATTCCTGCTGTGAAGTATAATGACTTGTAAAACTAGTTATAAAAATGTATAATAAATACACTTCATTTTCCATCTAATCCCAGTTACTAGGATTTAAGTTTTACTGATACATATGTACCCATAACTTAGTGGGATTAGAGTCAAATTAAGGGGTAGAGTGGGCCTAGGCTATAATCTCTACAGGAATCTAAAATAACGTTGAGAAACATCACTGGGAATAAAATCAGATCGCGGGAAATCATATGTGCCAGAAAGGACTGTGTGTGGATAGAGTGGAAAAAAAAACTTTGAAAGAGGCCTGAGGTAGGGATGGGAGTAGTAATGAGTCCAACCAACACACACACACACACACACACACACACACACACACACACACACACACGCTGCATCTTCACATTCACAAAGTGGTTTCTAAACTGCCTTCTAGGGAAAGTGGGTCCCATTAGCTTTTACCGTGGGGTATGGATTTGCTGAGAGGGGTGAAAGGCACACTGCCACCCGCACTTCTCCTCCCCTCCCCTCCCCTGCAGAGACCCGCTTCTTCCAGGATAATGGCTGAGGAAGTGTTTGAAGAACAGTGGACATGAAGGGGTGCCAGACCACAGCCTTCCCAGAACACCTGGGGCTTGCTTGTGCCCGAGTGGAGTCAATGTCGCATTTTAACATTGACTGACGTTGCCTTGATCTGTGGCATCTATTTCTATTTCTCCTTCCTATCTTGTCCTTGTTCTCTCACATCAAAACTCACATTCCCATAGATCTCAATTCCTTTTGAGGCAATCAAAATATGTGATTAAAGTGATTCACGGGGGGTGGGGGGGGCGGTGGACCAACAAGATTTTACCCTAATAGGGATTACTGGTCACAAAGGGGGCTTGGTAACCAAAATGAAGCGCTCATGGGTAAAATGTGTTTGGCGATCTTCCATCCTGTCTCTAGAAGAGTGACAGCTAATTTTAAACGTCTTCCTGTTACCCTGCCTTCCCGTCCCCTACATCCCGAGTACCTACCATAAACCTGCCATATAAGCACCCTCCATTTGCCATTTAATAATTCTGGGTCAGTTCCCTGCAGATGACCTAGTCAAGGGCTTGATGGTTAGTTCTGAGAAGACACTGTTCATTCAACACCTTCCACATTTAAATACTCCAAATTCATCCACTGATAAATGATGTAGAAAAAGCCAGGATAAAAAAAAGCCACTACAACCAAAGCAGATGCTGTCTGTCGTATGACTCGACCCCTGACTTTGCTGAGTGATTCGAAACTTCAGTGAAAAGTAACTGAAGACAACGGTGTCCATGATGAAGGGAATGAAAGCTGCTACCCTTCCTAGAGAAATCACTTTAAAAGGAGTGGGAAAAGGAGAAGAAAAAGAAGGAAGGAAGAAAACTGGGTCGACACTTGGCATTTACTTGAAGAAGAGCCAGCAGATGTACGTGCAGAGACAGTTTCACAGCACAGAGGGAAGGCATCGATCAGAAGGCTTCCTTGGCGCAATTAAATTTCTTTGGTGGCAGCCTCGGCTGGGAAGGCAAGGCACAAAAGTTGTGTTCAGGGTTCTGAGGGCCAAGAGGTGGTGTCTGTGAACTTACAGGGATTGATCGGCTCAGGAATCTCGCTGAGGAAGAAGAAAGGCCGGTGTAGGAGGGCCGCAGGGCGGTGGCGTGATCCTCGGTCTTGGCGCTGTGAGGGCCTGGCTGACTGTTCAGGGCACTCCCACTGCTGCTGTTGCTTCTGCTGTACTGGTTGTTGTTGAGCTCAGGGTAATTTCTGGCAGGCAGCTGGGAGCTGCCATTCAAGAGGCTGGTGAACGGGTTGCCTACGAAACCCACCTTGGAGGGTGAGGCAGTCTTTTTGTTCTCTGGATCGTCTGCTGCAGCGTTCAAGTTCCCTAGAGAACTGGCTAGCCGGGAGTTCATGGAAAAGCTGAACGAAAAACACAGGTGGGGCGGGGGGGGAACATAGACAACCATGTATACTCACACAGGGTTCACGTTTCTAAAACACATGATTACGACATTAGGGGAATGGGATGAAGACAGTTCTGATCAACGCAAATGGTGACAGAATTGCTCTTGGTGATATTATAATATGTGGCCTTTAGTTATACATGGTAAGTTCCTCTGTCAAAAGTAGTTAAGACTCAAGAAGCTGGCTAAAACAGTTTGACCAGAGATCCTGAAATAGAATATGTGCGGGTTTCTACTTGCCCTGTGGCAGGAAGTAAATGAAAAGGACTATATAAGGGGAGAGTACAAAGCAGACCTAAGTACAAGATTTAACTTCTATATATTCGATCATATGACTACATCAAACATCCCTACCCATTTTAGTTCGGCCCATACACATCAGGGGAGAAAATGACTATGTCGTATATTATTAGTCTGCACCACTGAGCTCTGTTCCCTGGATCATGTTGGGCAAGCTCTGGAAAGGGATGCCGTACAGCATTCCCTCCATGGCCATGTCCCCACAATTCAAGACAGGAACAGAAGCCTAGAGGGTCGCAGTGCTTTTTGTGGTTTCTCCCCTTCCCCCAGTCCCCTCCTCTCACAAACTTCAGCCAAACCCATTGTCTGCTGCTGCCTTCCTTTACCTCCTGCCAGTGCCTCAGAAGGAGGAGAGAAAAATTACCTTCTTACACTGGTGCCTGAGGACAAAGAGCCTCTGTTTATCCTCTTGGCCATCACGGAAGGGGACAAAGCCACTTTTGAGGTCTTCAAAGGAGATGCAGATCCTTGTGGGGAAGAACTCAATCTTTGTGGAGAAAAATGGGCAAAGCGTCACACAAAAGCTGTGTTATCTTAATATTCACCAATAGACTAGGACAAGATAAACTAATAAACGTTAAAGAGATCATGGCAGGTCCTAGTAACAGTAGCCAACACGGCCGCAGCCCTCACTCTGTGCTGAGCGCTCATCTAAGAACCTGACGGACATTAACTCAGCTTCTCCTCACAGCAACCCCACGAGGTAGCGAAGACTGCACTTTGCAAGTGAGCAAATGGAGGCACAAAGGAAAAGCTCCTCGTCCAAAGTCACTCAGCGAGCGAGAGGCAAAGCTGGGATTCAAATCCAGGATCCAAAGTCCTGGGGGTAACTACCATCCTGCCATCCTTGACCACTTCCCTTCCTTGACACTGGCATTCATTCCTTCCAAGTCCTGAGATTCTACCTCTCTCTATTTCAAATCTATCCTTATCTTTCCACTCTGCAACTGCCCTAGGAGAGGCCATCATTATTTCTTATCCTTGACACCTAGCAGCACCTTTTAATCTGTTTCCTTAAAACTCACATTCCGAATAGCCTCCAACAAAATCTAAAATATCTAATCATGTTGCTTCACTGTTTAAACCATCTAATTTGTCTTCAATGCCCAGAAAGCCTAAACTTCTTGGCTTGGCTTTAAAACCCTCCAAAATCTGGCATTTGCCAATTCTCCACATTTTCCCACCAGACACCTCTTCTCCAGCTACAGAAAATGCCCTGAGATGCCTGGATAGACAGCGTCCACACCTCTGTCCAGTTTGCATACGCTATTTTTCCTGCCAAGGCATCTTCTCCTGTCCTTACCTCACCTCTACACACACCTTTTTCTTCCACCTCCATCTGACTCACTCCCATTGCTTATCCTTTAATGGTGCAATCAGCTGTTACCTCTTACAGCAAGCCTTCACTGAATTCCCAGGCGGGGTAAGCATCAAGTTTCATCATATATTCTCATAGTAAATCACAGCTCTTGTACCACATTTCATTGTCTAATATCGTCTACTTCCCTCGAAATTAGCTCCATTACGAGCAAAGAACTGCTTCTCATTTCAATTCCCAGACTAGCACAGTGCCAGACTCAGAGTAGGTGTTCAGGAAATATTTGCTGAGTGAACAAAAAGGGAAAAGTGACTCAAATCTGGACTATCAGGGCCCAGTCATGGTTTTAATACCAAATGTGTTTTGTCCTGGACAAATCTTTTAATGTAGCTGGACCCTGTTTTCCTATCTGCTATAGAAAAGCTGATTTACTTGTAGACTCTTTTCTTCATCATCTTCCCTCCAAACAGCAGCTTACAACATGGTTTGCCTCTAAATCAAGAACAGGAAAAGTTGTACAAGGAAGCAGCTCAAGCTTCTGGAGAAGTCTGGGCCATCTCAGAGCTGCCCTCACTAAACAACCCTAAAACCTAGAGCTGAATAAGAACAGAGCTGAGGAATGACTCAGCTTTTTTTCCCCATCTGTTGATGACAGTTTTGGGCAAACATTTCTACAGCCCTCACTAAGACCTACCCTTGATCCTGGTATCACTTAGACCACCAGGGAGTGTTCAGGGAACATTTTTCCAGAGAAAAACACTAATGTTTCCTCCTCCAATGGAGAATAGGGAAGGAAATAAAACTAGAAAACAAAGGAAGGGAACAAATACATGCAAAAATAGGAGGAAAGAAGAATAACAGAAATGTTAAAAATTCAAGGCAAAATCGATCACTGGCTTGAAAGGCATGTTGCAGAGCCACTGTAGTTTATTAGAGATCCCACCATGCACTGGGCACACCAAGTACATTGGCATCATTCCCACAGCCATACGGCCCTGTAGACACCTCAGGAAAATAACATTTTTGCAGGGTGAGCATTAAATACAAAGCATATTGTAACAATCTAGAACAGAAAGGAAGGAATTTTAAAAGTGAAAAGCTGTGAGCAGTTTATTTCTATGGGCTTAAGGGTTGGGAAATGTATCTAAAGGGTAGCATTTGTTTATAAGCTACTGGAAATTCAACCTGGTTGACAGTACCTGGAAGGCTGGGACACTGCTCTTGGATGCCCTTTCATATCCTCCAACCTACAGAAACCAAAGACAAATGTTCACACAACACCAGGGTCACACATTTAAGCCAAGACCAAAAGTCACATCATCTGGAGTCAGACCAGCAAAATTATTAAATGGGCAAGAGGGATAAACCTTGCAAATGGATATTAGTATTTATTCACTTTATAAAATAAATCCTAGAATCAGCAGGAAATCTATTTTAGTCATTTTGTTTCCTCTTGAATTTCATTTACAGCAAAATGCTTTTTCATCAGAAAGGTGGTACTGCATCTACTCAGGTTAAAAATGTTTGATCATGGTGCCATGATGCTTTTAAGAAAAACTAAATTCCAAAAAATGAGAATATTTCTGAGGATAAAAAGAAAAAGAAAAACACCATGTTGGAACGAACCTTCTAAAGTTTTGTGTAGTGAAGATTCTCTGGCTTCTTTCGCCTTTTTATTTGTGAAGTTACACCCCAACTTACCCTTTCCTCCCCCTATGATTTCTTAAAAATCAAACATAAATCTGTTTGAAGTTAATTTTAATCAATATGATGCAATTTCTTAGAGTTTCAAACAAAAAATGGTGAATAAAAAAAAAAAAGATTGGTGGGCTTCCCTGGTGGCGCAGTGGTTGAGAGTCCGCCTGCCGATGCAGGGGATGTGGGTTCGTGTCCCAGTCCGGGAAGATCCCACATGCCACGGAGTGGCTGGGCCCGTGAGCCATGGCCGCTGAGTCTGCGCGTCCGGAGACTGTGCTCCGCAACAGGAGAGGCCACAACAGTGAGAGGCCCGCGTACCAAAAAAAAAAAAAAAAAAAAAAAAAAAAATTGGTTATCTAAACTGATCTTGAAGAAACTTCCACTGACTTAGACAATATATATAGTGAAAAGAGCATGAACTTTGAACAGTGCTGGGTTTGAATAACAGCTAGGGAGTGATTTAACCTCTCTGACCTCAAGCAACCAACACAAATGTGGGTAATGGTGCACACCTTTTGTGTTAACTCGGTTAATCCTCATGTCCAAACTAGGCACCTAACAAGATTCCTGGCCCATAGCAGCTGCTCAGTAAATGGTACATTTCCTCAACTTCCTAGTGGTAGTTGGTGATTATTACTAAGTATTAAACTTGCTATCCCACCTTTCCATTTTACTATAGAAAACAATCAGCTCAACTTTGAGCTATATGAACCTTCATTTTTCAGGGCAGGAAACCAGTACCCAAAGCACAGATAATGGTATGACCAGACCCAACCTGACTTAAGTGTTATAATCCTCCCAGATAATACATAAAACTAAATTCCCTGTGAGGAGTCTGTTTGACATTTATCATACTAGCAAAACATCTCTCTTGCTATGCATTTCTCTCACTTAAAAATCAAAGGAAAGTAGCCACTTCTGGTTATATTCATTTGTGGACTTGTCATTCCTTATATTACAATAAAGAATCTTGATATTTACAGATTTTTGTACCTACATTGATTCTGAAGTCTTTTTTTTTCCACTTAATCCGAATTATCAGAAGATTTCAAAGGTTGTGGTCAGAAGTTAAGTCCCATCAATTGATTCTGATGAGTAATTTCAGACCTCCAAACCAAGATGGTTTATAACTTTACAGGCAAGAATTGCTTATTCAATTCTCAAAAATAGAAAGTAAGGCTAAGGAGTTAGGATATAACAAAAGCTTGGCATACTATACTTATCTGCACACTCTAGATTAAATACAAATGCTTAGCACATCTGTGAGAATTCACCATAGGACAGGAAACCCATTCACAGGAGAAGAGTCCATTCCAAGTGGAATTTTGAAGAGTCCCAAAGACAACCAACTGCTTAGCAGTTTAAGGTGGAATTCCAGAGATTAAGATGCAGCAGCTGCCTTCAATAAGCTTCTAAAATTTAGCTACTCCCCGCAGTGATAAAATTTTAAAAATGACACAAAATAGTAATAAACCAAAAAAAGAGAGGTAAACATAGTACTTGTAGAATGATATTCAAAAGAGAAGATTAAATATTCTATCCACAAATGGAGGTACAATATAAATTTAAAAGTTTCAAACAGATCTACCTAAATGCACACGATGGTGAGGAGCGTGGCTGTCTCTGACTTTTTAAGGCACGTAGTTTGTCTCCCTGGGTTATATTATTTTTCATTTCCACATCTTCATCCTCTTCTAAATTATTCTGGAAAAAAATTCATGTTCCACAGAAAGGTCATTACGAGTAATTCTACTTTATATAGATTTCTTAACAGTTTATAGATTATCTCGGTATACGGATATGGTTTATACAGATTATCTTAAATAGTTTTAACGCACTATGAATTCAGCATTGGCCACATATATACTAAAGAACGCTGGACTAATCACCAATTAAATATACTGGTCGAATTCCAAATCAAAGAAGCATGGGTATGGATGTGGTAGAATTTATTAAAAGGAGCTCTGTTACAACGGACCACAACCATGGAGACTTTCTTGCAGACAAAATTATGCTTTTGAATATAGCTTAGACATAGGTTGGCTCAATAGATACAGTACAAATATTTTTCCAGTAGCTACCAGCACCCATCACTGCAAATTCCATAGCTTGTTTACATAAGTGAAAGATAAAACAATTTAGGATATCTATACAGTAACTTATTAACATCATTTAACACTATTAAAAGCACTCAAGATTTTTCCAAGCTTACTGGACTGGCAAAGTGTGTTTCCTGCTGAACCAAGTCTTGTAGTTGGAAAAATATATATAAGTACCACACCAGGTCTTTTTTGCATACCAGGTCACATTTAATTCTCACAACCCAGGGAGCGGTGGTGGGGAGGGCACCATTACCCTTAATTTGAAGATGAAAAAAGGAGGTGCTTGTGGAAGATAAGACTATTGCCTAAGCTCCCCTAAACTCTTCATGACAGAGCTATGATTTTAAAATCAGATTTCTTGTCCTCAGATACAATGTTCTTTCTAAAATATATGCCACGGCACACTAACACTCCACCATAAAGATTGTATTTTTCCTCACCTGAAAATAAATCAAAAGGTTTGAATTTGCTAAGATCATTTCTAGCCATAAGAGTCTCCTCTCTTCTTTAAAGCTAGAAGTCTTATTTGATGAAGAATGTACAAAAACGCACTTCCCTCAGTGACCTTTTAGTCATTTTTGACAGCCATTCCTGAATCAAAACACTTTTTTGTTCCTTGCCATCTATTTTGGGGTCCATGGATTCATCTGGAGCTCAGTAGGCATGTCCTGGGTAAAAAGACCACACCTCACCACTACAGCTCTGATTTAAAAAAAAAAAAAAAGACATACAAAATACACAGCTAATAGGAAAGAAAAAGAAATGAAGGTGAAAGCTTCTCAGAGGAGACAATCCCTTAGCTGAGTCTTAAAGAATGAGTACAAGCGAAGCAAGCCAAGCCAAGATCACAGGAAGGGCCGTGCTGGCAAAGAACTCCGGTTTAACAGTCACAGGATCATGGAACCCCAAAGTCAGGGCGTTCTCTTAGAGTTATTAAGAGATGCCCACCTATAAAGTCCCGAGGAATCAATTATATTATTCATCTTTGTCCATACAATCCCAGTGGGGGGAAATCTACTACCACCCAAGGAAGCCTGTAGGAACAGAAATCAGGCATGCCTGAAGGCTAGGCTTGCAAGCAGGATAGTAACACCTGAGAAGCTGAGCTTAGCTTCATCCAGCACCCAACATGCTGGGTTGTTCGCAGTTACGTGTGCCTGACAGAAGGACAAGCACATAGCCAAGAGGCTCCAAAATATGAGGGGGTCTCAAGAAGTACATAAGCCTTCATAAGACTGGCAAGGAGAGCTTCTTGAAGGTCGGACCAGATCCACACCACAATCCGTTTCACTGTCTAATGAGTGCCTTAGTGAGAAAGCCAGGAAAGCATGTTTGTCTATTCAACTAGGAGGATCTTTGCGCTCTCAGCTCTAAAATGCCTTCAAAATTCTAAGGAAAAGTAATTCTCAACTTGAAATTGCAATATTCAACCTATCTGTCAAGTGTAAAAGTAGAATAAAAGTACAAAAATTTACCTCTCTGACAATCTTTCTGCGAAAACTATTATAGGATATGCTTCAGGAGAAGGAAAGAAGACAACATGAGATCCAGGAAAATTAGGGATCCAACTGAGAAGTGTGAAGAGAAGGCCTTGGGTCAGAACTCTATATTTGGGCTGTAGAACAATTAGTTCAGGTTGGAAGGCAGAAGTGTCTTCAGGAAAACAACGGACTTGGTAAGATTTTTTTGCTGTGTTGAGATTTTGAAAAAAATTTTAATTGCTTGGCACAATTTGGGGAGGAGGGGAGAGTAGCATTCTCTTTTCCCAGATATATAGAAAACTACACAAATAAAAAGAGCAAATAACTTTAGGGGAAAAAAGGAGCTTCAACAAAGAAATCATAGTGGGCTACTAAGCTCAACAGTGAGCAATATTTGTAATAATGTATACATTAGTTGGGTTTAACCAAAAATTATAATATAGCTATATTGGGCAGCTAGGGGAAGTAGAGGTGATAGCAAGGTAGGAGAACTAATCCTATCTACCATAACCAGGAGGCAATAGAAAAATGTCCGAAATTGATAAGCTTTTAAAAGTAGCATTATAGCAAGATATTTAGGGCTTCCCTGGTGGCGCAGTGGTTGAGAGTCTGCCTGCTGATGCAGGGGACATGGGTTCGTGTCCCCGTCCGGGAAGATCCCACATGCCGTGGAGCCTGCGCGTCCGGAGCCTGTGCTCCGCAACGGGAGAGGCCACAACAGTGAGAGGCCCGCATACCGCAAAAAAAAAAAAAAAAAAAAAGATATTTAGAAATTTGGCAGTTAATTTGCTTACAGGTTTCTCCCGTTTGAGAATGGGTCTGGGGATACAGAAAGGTGGGATAGGGAACTGATTTTTTATTAGAATTCAATACTTTTGCTATTTCTAAAACTGTGGTCATATATTATTTTCTAAAATAAAAATTAATTTTAAAATATACAGTTAAAGAAAGTAACAGTATATTTATATTATAGTTACTTTACATGTGTTTATTTCTCCCACTTTATTGTAAATCTTAAAGGTGAAAAATTTTTAAATTATAATACATTTCAAACACGTAGAAAACAACAAAATGATGTAACAGCCAGCCATGTACCTAACTACCCAGAATTAATATATTTTTTCTTAAGCTCCTTAAGGAGTTTACTTAGGTACACTGGCTCTCAAAGAAAATGAAAACATTATATATTAAGTCCCAGCTCTCAACCTCTGGAGAAGGAAACCATGTCTTTTCCAAAGAAAAAATATATATATTTTACCATATAATACTTGTTTGTCATAGGTAACAACAAACTACAGAAAAGAGATAAAAAAAAATATTAAAGCCACCTACATACTTACCATCAAAGTAAAACACATTAGCATTCTGTCATATAGTCTTCCAGACTTTCCCCTGTGCTATCTATACATACCCCACCAACACATTTCTTCCTCTCAAAAGGAGGTTGAATTATACATGCTGCTTTGTAACCTACTTTTTCACTTAAATATACTACAGAAGTGTTTCAGGGTAAATTTTAAAAATCTTCTACATTATCATGTTTTATTGCTCCATAAAATTCCATTGTTGAGATGTATCAAATTTTATATATTTTGCCCTAAGTCAGGCTGTTTGCTGTCTTTCATCACTATAAACAGTTCCAACAAACATCCTTCTATAAACACATGGTTTCTGAACACTGTCCTATTATTATTGCCTTAAGATAAATGCATAGAAGTGGAATTGCTAGATTAAAGTCTCCTGCTACATGTTATCAAACCGCCCTCCAGAAAGGCTACACCATTTTAAACTCCAACTAGCAATGTTTAAGAGCTTTTTAATCCCCAAACCCTTGCTAATACTGCATACATTTCTTTAATCTCATACAAGTTGATAGGCATAAATAGCATCTGTGTTCCTTTCATTCCTAGAGAAGTAGCACATTTTTTTATATTTACCAACCATAAGGGCCCCCATTTTGTTTTATTTGTGTACATGGAGTTTTCACATTGATTTTTTTTTATAAATTTATTTATTTTCTTTATTTATTTTTGGGTGCATTGGGTCTTCATTGCCGTGCACGGGCTTTCTCTAGTTGAGGCAAGCAGTTGTGCACCACTCTTCGTTGTGGTGCGCGGTCTTCTCATTGCGGTAGCTTCTCTTGTGGAGCACAGGCTCTAGGCGTGTGGGCTCAGTAGTTGTGGCTCGTGGGCTCTAGAGCACAAGCTCAGTAGTTGTGGCACACGGGCTTACTTGCTCCTCAGCATGTGGGATCTTCCCGGACCAGGGCTCAAACCCATGTCCCCTGCATTGGTAGGTGGATTCTTAACCACTGAGCCACCAGGGAAGCCGCACATTGATTTCTTAAGAGCTCTTTACATTAAAATAAAAAAAACTTTCATTTGAATGTGTTGTAAATATTTCCTCCCAGTTGATTAATGTGAGGAGAATAACTCAGAGAGATCAAGACTGGGGGCGGGGGGCACAGCAGTGGTCTGGTGAGAGAGGACAGATTGGATTAAGGTAGGAGAAACTGCCTGGAACTCAGGACCTGGGGAAAGAGGAGGGAGGGGAAAAGATCTGGACACACAGTACAGGTCTGAAGAATATCTGCTAAAATATAAATCATGGGTTTTTTTGTCTCAACCTATCTCCCCTTATTTTATTTCTGTGGCTACTGTAAGAAGTTTTAGCCATTTTTAGGACTAAGAATATAAAATATATGAGTTATAAAATTCTTAGTAAATGATTAACAGCCTTCAAACTCTTGACAAAAATAGTTATATACAATGTTATTCAAAACACATTTAAATTACAAAATTAAGAAACAAAAAGCCCCACACACCTATGGTCAATTAACCTTTGACAAAGGAGGCAAGAATATACAATGGGAAAGAGACAGTCTCTTCAGCAAGTGGTGTTGGAAAAGTTGGATAGCCGCATGTAAATCAATGAACACACCCTCTCACCACACACAAAAATAAACTCAAAATGGCTTAAAGACTTAAACATAAGACAGGGCACCATAAAACTCCTAGAAAAGACCACAGGCAAAACATTCTCTGACAGAAATCATACCAATGTTTTCTTAGATCAGTCTCCCAAGGCAACAGAAATAAAAACAAAAATAAACAAGTGGGAC